CATTCAAGTAAATGGCCATGTAGTAATCTTTTATAACATGGACTATTATCAACAGAATTATTATTTCACCCCAAATTGTCAATATTTCCCCAAACCATAAGAAAAATCTTTTCCAAAAATATGAGTATTCTTTTCCATTTAGTGATTGAAAACTGAAACAAGGACACATTAAGAGTAAAATTAAGGTCTGTCCTACTGTCATCACTTTTGTGAGCTTTCTGAAACATTAAGTAGTATATTGCTGGTTTCCTTGCTCTTGGCCAATGGCTTTATCTTACCAGGTGAGAAGTAATTTCTGAATTAGGTTAGATAACCTACAAAGTCTCTTCCATCTCTAGAACTGTTAGATTCCACTTAGTTATATAAATTTTAACAATTTGTAACTTACTTCTGGGAATGTGTTAAATTTGGGTAATTAGGGCACCATTTTGCATTAAAGTGATGTCATAAAATTTCTAAATAGTACTCAAGCAGCCTGAGGGAGTAAATGTTATTTAACAAAAACTCATATAGTGCTTACAACATCCCTAGCATTGTTCCAAGTGCTTTACAAACTCTTTTATACAGTATTTTCAGTATACTTAGTAACTGAATTCTTACGAAGCTTAAATGAGTATGTGAATTAGCATTCACCAATAAATTAAAGTGAACAACCACTTTCATTTACCCTTTGAAATTAAAATTATTCATTTCTAGCCATTAGGATGATTTTGCAATAATAAAAATCTGGCCAGTTAACTCGCCTTACTAAAGTCCTTCAATTGCCTTCAGGACACAGTCCAAATTCCTCCACAAATCACGAAGATACTGCCGCATCTACTCTCTGCTTTTCCTGTTTTGGCTCCCGTGTACCTTTAATCCTAACTATTTGTACTTAACAAAAATGTGTCCTGATTCCCACCCGCCCTTTAAGTGCTCCCCCCCTTGGTTTGATAGGCCCATCACCTACCTTCCTTCAATTTGGCCAATTCCCACTCACCCTCAAAAACACAGCTAAGACAGCACTTCCCCATGAAAGGCCCCCTGACTGCTCATCTGGCTTAAATATTATGTTTTCTCTGCTTCTACCGCTTTCTGTGTTCATCTCCAGGAAATCACACAGAAGGACAGAGTATAACTGCTTATCCATTCATGCATCTTCCCACTTGCCTGTAAATTCCTTAAAAGCTTAAACTGTGTCTTTTATCTTTAAATCCCCAGAGCCTTGTACAAAAACTGGTACACAGTATGAGCCCAAGCAAATAAATGCCTTTTAAATACATAAATCAACAAATGAATATATAAGCTTTGTTAGATGATAGAGAGGCATCCCAATTTTGTTTTTGAAGAAGAAAGAAAATTGGTAAAAAAAAAAAAAATGTCCATGGATAGCTAAGATGCCATAATTTTTATCTATTTAATTACCAAAGAAATAATAAGGCCATCAACTTGAGTTTTTAGGTCCAATGCCAGCTCCCAATGAAACCAAAAACACAAAATGCAGGAAAACTCCTTAGTTTTCTAATTGCAGGAAAATTTGGCATATGGCAACTAAGTCTTTACAACTGTAACTGCCAGATTCAAAACCTAGTAGTCAGCGATTTCTAACTGTAGTTTAAAGATCATGGTAAACTGCAAAAGCCTCCCAGGTGATCCGGACATCCAACCATATGTACTGTGTGTATCTTACTATGCGTCAGGCACTGAGATAACTGCTGGTAGTAATTTCTTTGAAGAGGAGCACCTGAGTGGCTCAGTCGGTTAAGCATTAGTCTCTCTCTCTCTCTTTTTTTTTTACTGATGTGTTAGTCTTTTATTACATTTCCATATTTTCATACACATATATGTATTTTTTTACTAAAGCAAGATCACAATGTTGTAAATAGTTTGTTTTCTTTTCATCTTTTCATCTCTTTGCCTGTAAGCTTCCATAGCATCTAATACCTCGATCATACTAAAATTACCCTAATTGTCACACAACTATTTCCCCAAAGCTAGTTTGTCTAAATCAGGGTTTAGGTCCAGAGCCTGCATTTTATCCAGTTTATATATCCCTTAGGTGTTTAAAATCTAAAACAGTCCTTTTCTTCATCTGTTAGTTTTCCTGCTCAATGTCTGTCTGATCACTTCCTCATGCTGTCACTTAGCCAGCTCCTCTGTCCCCTGTATTTCCTAGATATCAGAAGGTACATCTAAGAGCTTGATCAGTTTATATTAATAAATTTTGTCTAGAATACATTGTGGGTACCATTGTCTGCTTCACATGGCATTTCTTCAGGACGTACATGCCGTGTGGTTTTACCATCAATGAAACTCACACTGTCCTCTGGGTTGTGTAATGGCCACCCAGTGGCCCCAAGACAGAGATTATGATTGCCCCTGCAAGCATGAAGTATTTGGTATGGACCACACCACACAGATGTATGGTTTCCCCTCGGCCATTCACCGCATGGCTAGTTCCATTAGACAGCCCTTGTCTGAATTAACATTTGCTGGAAATCGCAGAATGATTATTTTTCTAATGTTATCATTTCTCCTACATTTATCAGCTGCCACTCCTTAGTGAAGAAGGGCTTTCCTAATTACCTAGATCCATCTGGTTACTCTGAGAAGCATCTGGACAAGCATTTAACTCTTGACTTTTCAGCTCAGGTCATGATCTCAGAGTTGTGAGATCTAGCCTGCATAAGGTTCTGCGCTGGGGCATGGCTTAAGATCCTCTCTCTCTCCGTGTGCCCCTCTCCCCCACTTATACATGCAAGCACACTCTCTCTAAAAAAAAATTTTTTAAAAGATATTTAAAATAATTATTTTGATGGTAAGATAGCATTTCACTTTGAATCCTGATGTGAATAAATAATTTATTCACACTGTTCAACCTAAATCCAACCAGTTCATCCATACCTCACCAAAAGCCAGTCATTCTTCTCAATTGTTTATTATTGTAAGAAGGAGAAACTGCATAGGTCCAAGTTATCTTGTGCCCCAAGTTGAAAGGCCTATGATCCAAAAACTGCTGAAATTGTGCTCCATAAATGGAGAGAAAAGAAGGAAGACTGGCCTGTTTTCCAAAAGTGGTGGTCCTTCACCAACACAGTGGAGGGCAGAGGGTACCTGAAGACACTACTGGCACAAGACAGAGACTTGGAGTTTCCAGGTTCAATTCTGCAGTTTTCTTTTTCTGCATTTCTACTTTCTTCTGTTGCCCTTCCTCTCTGAGAAAGTCTTTGTGATTTGTTTTAAAGCACGGGCTCTATCAACAAAAATTCAGACTGTAAACTACAGGATGAAAGACCTGTTTTCAATGAATAAATTGCAAAGAAAAAATCAAGGAAATGGAGAGGGGGATACTATGCATTATAGAGAATCAAAAAATTAAACTAACTGCAATCTATAGACACTATTTGGGTCCTGGATCAAATACACAAACTTAAATATATATGTGTTACGTTTATATATATTTATTAAATATCCTTACATATATCTAACATATGTATATATTTATGTTTATATATTTGGCATAATATCATTGTTACCTTTTGAAAGAATCCTTTTAGAAGTGTTGAGTGAATTTTTTATGAAAAAAATTCTATGATTTGCTTCAAAATAATATAAGAAGAGAAGAAAATAGGAGATAGATGAAACAAAATTGGCTATGAGTTGCTAATTGTTTAAGCTGGGGTTCATTATAATATTCTATTTTGTGTGTGTTTGAAATTTTTCATAGTCAAAGTTGTAAATTTGTGGGACTATTTCTCCACAGCAATGATTCTCATTTACTAAAAAATAAGATAGTGTCCCCTGCTTCTTCAGTTTTACTATGAAAACAAGTCAAAATGAAAGAGGAAAATAAGTATTTTTCAAACATTAATGGAATCCTTTATTAAAGTTTGACGCATCAGATTTTCTACTAATCAAACTTTGATGGATACTACTGTAGCCCTTTAAAGTAATTTCTTACATGAAAATTTCAATGGAACTAAGCCTTTGGCTACAAATACAGATTTAAGTGGCCTTTTCTATTTTTACATATATTACATACATAGATCAAATACTATGATTATCACAGCAACAATGTACATCTTAAGGTATTAATAAGTATATTTGCACATGTGAAAATATTCAGCCTCCCTTTAGATCAGCATAGTTTACAACAGTTTCAACATGGACAAGTTCTACCTTAATCTGTACTTACAGATGAATGAACTGTTTGCCAGGTTGGTATATAAACACAAAAACTGTTTACAGAGCCCCAAAATAATTACCTAAATTAGCAAGTAAGTTCAAAATACTTTTCAGTCATTATCTGTGGATGTGTGTTATTGATCCAAATGCGGGTAAAAAGTAAACTTAGATTTAAAAAAAAAAAACAACCATAGTTTATAAATGCCCAATAAACAACATGGCTCAAATTACACCAAAGGACTGCTACCAATGAAAAAATGGGGGAGGAGACGCCTTTTCTGAAAGGTGGAGGTGAACGGGTACATCTCTGGTGTCCACAAATTGAGTGAGCTGAGAACACTGCAGTTTATTTTTACTGTTTGAGTTTAGTTAGGGATGTCTAGGCTTGTGTTTTCGTTTTTTTTTTTTTTTTTCTACAATACCAACCTTGGTTTAAATCACATATAAAGTCTTTTTGAGGATTTAAGCAAGCACCACAATAATGATGATGCAAATCCTGCCAACATAAAATCCCTTCTTGCTTACTACGCTTTTGCCTGACAGAGGTGAGAGGGTCTCCACCCCTTCGCTCAGGATGCGGCACTGCCAAAGACATCCCGCACAAACTCCTCTCTAGCAAAGCTCCGGCCTGTGGTTCTTTGGGGGATTTTGCTCCTTCCCCCGCCCCCCGCCTTCCCGGCTCCCTCTTTTTTTGCACAGAGAGCGCCATGCATGACTCGCATTAGGACTGCGCTCATTTCACCAAAGACACCGCATCTCCAGGGCGACGGAGAGCAAACGTGGGGTAGGGTGGGCCAGGCCGCGCCCAGGCCCACCCGCCGGACCGCGCCTCTCACCTGCCCGGCGCCGTGGTGGCCCCGCACTCGCGTGTCGAGCGCGTCGTGTCCAGTTTCGTCTTCGCCGCCGGAGCGGTAGAGGAGCCGGAGTGGCACGATGCTCTGGCGCTCCAGGAAGCGGTTTTCGTTCCTCCTCTCCAGCTCCGTCAACAAGGCGTCTCCTCAAGGCAGGAAAAGGGTAAGGAGGGAGTGGGGAGAGAAGGAGAAAATAATGACCCTGACCCGTACTCGTGCCTTCTGCGGCCCGACGTCTCCTCTATGAAAATCCCGCCGCCCCCTCCCTCCCGGTCCCCATCTGAGAAGGACGCAGTCGGGGAACCCTGGACCAGCGCATCTGAGATCATCCAGGATCGGGGCCCAGAAGCACAGCACCCCTTTCCCATCCTCCGCACTCCTCCTCTTCAGAAGACGAAAAAGAGGCATTTGACCGAAGGTTTCTAACGCATCCGCGCGCCCCCACACATGTATTTTTGCTTCACTTCTCACCACCCTTCTAAATAAAAAATCTCCCCGCGCACTCGGGAAACGGGAATGCCCGTTTCCAGAGCGCTTGAGGGCTGCAAAGACGCCCGGAAAAAGGTACGTCCGGAAGCCACAGAGGGTGGCGAACTTACCTGCCCGGCCGCAGCGCGCCGGGGGGCAGGTCCCCAGGGCGCAGAGCAGCAAGAAGGGCACGGACGCAGCCGCCGCCTGCATGGTGCTGCCGTCAGCCCGCCTCGTTCGAGACGCTCAGCTCCTCATGCCGGGGCCGCCAGGTCCGCGTCCGTCGGCCCGCGCCCCACGGCTGGCCTCGTCCGCCCCCTCCCAGCCCGGGTTGGTGCTGCGGCGGTCGTGGCGCTGCAGCCTCCGCCGCGGCGCTGCCTCAGTGCTGCATTGTGCTCCGCGGGCGCTTCCGCTGGCAGGGGGAGCGAGCGAGTGCTGCATTGGGCGGTTGGCTGTAACTAAGTGGTTTCTAGCGCCTCCCACCTCATCCCAAGGCAAAGGCTCCGGCGGGCGACGAGCGCTCGGCAGGGAGCGAGCGCCTGGTGCACTCGCCCCCCGCGCGCGGCTAGGGGCGCGCGCCGGAGAGTCAGCTGGGAAATGTAGTTCTCGCTCCGCATCCCGCTTGTTTCCACGAAGGTGCAGACTGTCGCGACCTCGTGACCACGGAAGACAGAAAGGGCAGAAGAGAGGTCGTCGAGGGCAGGCCCTTCTGGGCACGGAAATATCCCGACTGCGCCTCTGCTAGAACCAGTATTCCTTCACTCCGTGGTTCATAAAGACCCGTAATATTTTCCACAGATAAGGTAGTTACTTAAATTATTATCAGGGAATCACACCCTCAGAAGTACATGGTAAGTTCGGGACGCCTGGGTGGCTCAGTGGGTTAAGCCGCTGCCTTCGGCTCAGGTCATGATCCCAGGTCCTGGGTTCAAGCCCCGCAACGGGCTTTCTGCTCAGCGGGGAGCCTGCTTCCTCCTCTCTCTCTGCCTGCCTCTCTGCCTGCTTGTGATTTCTGTCAAATAAATAAATAAAATCTTAAAAAAAAAAAAAAAAGAAGTACATGGTAAGTTAAAAATTCATCAAACACTGAGTGAGGACCTACTATGTGCCCGGTGGCTGACTAAGTAGGGGGACACAACCGAGAACAACACGAGTGTAGGAGGCACCTGCTTGCAGATGCAGTAGAGTAAACACCGTTTTTTACATTACGGTGTGAAGGTGCCCTGGTAATGCTTAGAGGAGGATCATTAACTCAGCCAGGCAAGTCAGGCGGGAACATCAAGGTCAATGCAGACACTGGAACGATGTCTTGGACTTAGCCCAAGTGTCCAGGATGTTTTGTCCTTTTTCTGATCTCTGCCTGTCTCAAACCTGTTTGTGAAAACCAGACTTGAGGAACTCTACCTTCTCAGGCGGCTAATTCCATTTTCCTCTAATTCCAAATGTTAGAAACTCTTGAGGATAAGACAGTAATACAAGTACTATTAGTTATCACCATAATTAGCTCTTATGTAGTATGATACAGTTTTTCTGAGGTCACATATAATGCCCTTTGAACCTTGGATCAGCAATCTGATAAGTATTATTATTCCCATTTCAGAAAGGAGGAAATTCAGGCTTAGAGCTGCACTTTCCAAATTCTGTAACCACTAGCTACATGTATCTATTTCAATTTAATTAAAAGTAAATAAAATTTAAAATTCAGTTCCTCGGTCACACTACACACATTTCTGTACTGCCTATGACTAGCAGCTACTGTATTGTAGAGCAAAAATAGAGAACATTTCCATCATTGCAGACAGTTATATTGGACACAAGAGGCTTAGAGAATTTAAAGGACTTTTCCTAAGGTTCCATGGCTATAGAGTAGACTGGATATCCTGTCTTCAGATCTGAGTCTTTTTTCCACACTTCCCTGGTGGAACCTGTTTTTATAACCTCCATCCTGATTCTGGTCCTGTAAAGCATGAAGAAGAATCTTACACATGATGCTTGCTCTGTGGAGATGGGTTTTTTTTTCCTTCCCCAGTGGAAAAAATTTTTTACCCCTGCCTCTTGTGACATGGTTTCAGGTTTCCATCATGATGATTTGAAAATACACTCCAGTATGTCAGTGTCCCAGATAAAGTGTAGTATTCAGTATTAAATACAACTTAGACATGGTTTTACAAGCAAACAGTAGAGAGGGACTCTTTTTTTCCCTTGAGAGAACATTCTATCATATTTAAGTAACCGTAGCTCATTGACCTTTATTACCATTTCAAAAAAAAATTCCCAAATTTTCAAATAAATAAGACACTTAAGAATTTTATATATGACATGAATTATAGCCTGAATAGGGGCTAAAAGATTTCAATGGTACACTTTACACCTTGATGCAAGACATTTCACAGTAGGTAGAGTAAAAGAATTAAAACCCAAGGGCATGGAGGTACCTGGGAGGCCCAATTGGTTAAGTGGTGGACTCTTGGTTTCAGATCCGCTTATGATCTCAGGCTTGTGAGGTCCCTGAATAGTTATTCTTGGTATTTCTGTTGGTTTTGTACATTTTATTAGAAAGGACTACATAATGGCCAGACACTTTAGTTCTACAGTATGCAAATACAAATAAGTTGTAATATTAGGAAAACTTATTCTTAATGTGAGAGTGAGCATATCCAATCTCTGCTTTACAGTATTAAAGCTTTATTCACAGAGCTAAGAAAATTGTGCCCTTTGGAAAATTTTCTATTCAGTTCCTCTATTTTCTAATTAGATTCTTTATTTTGCTATTGATTTGTATGAGTTACATATTATAGATATTAACCCCTTTTCATAAATATGATTTGTAAATATTTCCTCCCATTCAGTAGGTTGTCTTTTTATTTTGTTGATAGTTTCCTTTGCTGTGCAGAAGCTTTTTAGTTCAATATAGCCCCACTGGTTTATTTTCATTTTTGTTGCCTTTGTGTTTAGCGTCAAAGCAAAAAAGTGATTTCCAAGACTAATGCCAAGGAGCTGATGTCAAGAGTTGTAGAGTTGGTTAATAGAACATGCTTCCTTTAGGAGCAAAACAGATGGACAATAACAAGGTAATTTCTCAACACGTACCATTAAAATAAATCAGTCTCAGGAGGCTGTGGGAAGTTGCTCCAATCAAGAATCATGGTCTATTTCCAGAGCTGAGTCAGTTTTTCAACCCAGAAACCACCAAGTGAAGGAAAGGTCATGTCCCCAGGAGAAGGACCCTGCATCACATGTTAAGTACCTATGGTTAACTATTCCTTAGCTCTTTCCCAAAGGGACTTACCTCCATTTACCTGGGTCACTGCACTGGAGAAAGGGATAAGAATATCCGAATTACTGTTGGATGCAGGGTCTGGACTGACAGTGATACCTGGGACCCAAAGCACCTATTATAGTGGAGACATGTGGGAGTCAGGTAATAAATGGAGTCCTGGCCAAGCTTTGGCTCAGTGGGACAACAGGGTCATTTGCTTAGGCTCTGAATGTTTTATTAGAAAATACTTAATACTTCACTAAATCACCCGCATTGTATCTCCAACTTATAGGGTAAGAATTTTAGTGGATAAGAACCAAAAAAAAAAAAGAAAAAGGAAAAGAAGAAAAGACCAAATGAGAAGCTGAAACTGTCTCTATCTCTCAGCCAAATAATAAATAAAAAGCAGTATCTTAATCTGGGGTCATAGTGGTGCTGGTGATGGAGGAAACTGATGCCCCTGTTAAATATCTAAAGATGGTTGATTTCCATCCTATTCATCTGGGTTATAAAGAATAACAATAGACTGCCTCAAACTGCACTAAGGAGTAGCCTCAATTGCAGATGCAGTGCCATATGTGATACCATATTCACTGCAAAGAGCATAGCCTCAGGTACATGATATGCAACATTGTTTGGGTGGATGCATAATTTTCCATCCAGGTCAGAAAAAAATCAGGAACAGATTGCATTCACAGGGGAAAGATTAACAGTATACATTTTACTTGTCCTCTGTTAAAATTTGAAGAGGATGCCATTGAGAACATCACATTAACCCATTATACTGATATATTTATCAGACCATATGATTAAGAAGTTGCTACCACATTGGAACTATGTGGCACATGTCTTCCAGGCGCATGTCCTCTAGGGCGTGAGACATGTACCCTAATAGGAGTCAGGCACCTGTCACATCAATAACATTTTTAGACATCCAATGGCCAGGGGCATGCCAGAACATCCCACCCGGAGTAAAAGACAGAGCACCTGTGTGGCTCAGTTGGGCAACTGCCTTCCACTCAGGTCATGATCCTGGAGTCCAGGGATCGAGTCCCATGTCGGGCTCCCTGCTTGACGGGGAGTCTGTTTCTCCCGCTGACCTCTCTCCGCTCATGCTCTCTCTCTCAAATAAATAAAACCTTAAAAAAAAATACATTAAAGTAAAATACTAATTACTGAACTTTCCAAACATGAAGGAAACATCACATCGGAAAGCCTCTTCAGGTTCTGGAGGGAGGATATTCCAAATGGGAGTACTACTTCCACCCAAGGGCATGAAAGGCTGTCAGCTGTGAGCAAAAAATAGCTCTGCAGTCATATAACCAGGCAGGTTCAAAGGTTTGAGAGGTATCTATCAGTGATAGGAAAATTGGAGTTTATGAAAAGTCCCAATAGGGAAATGACAACTTTCCTGGAAGACTTAAACTATGCCATCTTCAGTGGAGAATTATGTACTTTTGGAAAAATGAAAACAGTTTTTTGTATGAGATGATGACATATGAGAGATGAAGTGGCTGTCTGTGGGGCAAAAACTATCATGTAGTCACAAGGCCAGTCATGGGCTGAGGTTCAGTCATTAGATCTGTCATCAGATTGGGCAGATGCACCAATAATCCTTATAAAATGGAAATGGTATATCCAGGACTGAGCTAGAGCAAGACTAGAGAGCTCAAGGAATGAGCAGGCAGCCCAGGTCCCATGTCATCCACTGCTATCACATCAGTTCCTCTCTCAGTACCCACCTACAGGTGTATGGGCCATCCCTTTGGACCAGATGAAAAATCCCAAACTTAAATCAGGGGATTAGCTGCTTCTGTGGGTGCAACCTGAAAATATATGGTAGTTGCCATACAGCTCCACTCAGTGGTGTCGCTGAAAGCCAGTTACAGATCTTCCTAATAGAGCTTCAAGTGGTATACCTCTAATTATCACTTTGTATGGAAAGAGAACTGGC